ATACAAAATAAAAACAATCTTTCAAGCATCAAATACATTTTCTTATTATATCCTACGATCTTTTATGTTTTTTCCCAATTTTTCTAATAATCATTTATAATAACCGAGATTAATCATCTTTTCCATCACTTTCATACTAATTAGCTCGACGATATTGAATGCTTTTGTTAACGAGCTACGTAAGAATTCTGGATGACGATCGCGACAGGGCATTTGTTTTCGAGTCTCTGCGAGTGTGCATTGAACGCAGGTAACTGCACACCCACCTACTCATCCCCGTTTCGTCGTGACTCACTGCAAGCCGATGCTCTCCAGCAATACGCGTCGTTATGTCAAAGATTAGCCTTTCTTCTAAACATATCGAACTGTCTACGTTCTACGACCCCTAAATCGTAGGTTTTATGCATTTATACGAAATCCAAGGAGTATAAAGCTTCATCAATGTACAAACCATCGGAAAAAATTGCCTATTATGATATTTAATCGAATATAAAGCAACCGATATATTCTGATATTTGGAGATTTAAAGAAACAGCGTTTTAGAGCTCGTTTTCTAAAATGTAGCATTGTGAACGTTTTATTACGTACAAAGAGTGCAGTTTTGCGATTGTAAGCTCGACTGACGAACGTGTCATTATTCGCTTTAACAAAGCAGTGATTCGATTCAACAGGGTATCCAGGAATCGATCGAACGAACGATACTAGCTATTCTCGTTAGGCTATCAAGATTTTGATGCCAACAGGCAGTTCCACGGTTACTCGGTACGATTGAAACCGGCGGCGGCGGGAGCGCATGTCACGGTACGAGTACGTCGGTTCGGTAACGTTAAACGCGTGAGAGAGTTTTCCCTTCGAACAAACAAGACGTCGTCCTCGTATTTTACCGATCCCGGGTCTAATGTTAATTGCGTTTGTTCTCTGCTCGAGCGAAATAATCGGTCGGACAATAATCATACGCAGAACTGAAACGGGGGGCGGTGAACCGTGGAAATGATTCGTCCGGTGGCTCGTCGTCAGGAATGCCCACGATAATCGTGGATTTCCGTCCGCTTATTATCTTTACGCGCGTCACAATACGTTTAGATTGCGTCCCGGTGACGGCTAATTAGAAAAGTACAATCACCCCGGTTCCAATACACCCCCTCCTATCGTCCCATTACTGATTTCATATATAATAAACCATTTGTCATAGCATATTCATAAACGCATTTATACATATATGCCAATTTGGGAAATCAAATTTCGATAAGAATTTCCTTTAGGCCTACAATAAA